ATATGCAAGGAAGACTAAAGCCTCAAAATTTGGCGCCAAGTTTCCTACCAGGCAAAACCAAAAACTAAATATATGTTTTTATTATGATCATAACACTTAACCTGAGATCTACCCACTTAAAATTTGTTAAAGTGTATAATACAATACTGTTAATGATCGACACTGTTGTACAGCATATCTCTAGGATTTATTCATTTCTCATAACTGAAACAGAAGAAATAGTTATGAGATTCAAAGTGTCCAAATTATCAAAGCAATCATTAAAATCTTTTTAATGTACTAGTCATAAACAAGCTTTTTTGAATTTAGGTACAGAATAAAAAATTAGACAGATGATGAATGAGACAGAACCCTTATTAATATTCTGATAACGAACATAATAAAAAGGTTTATGTTGCCATTTTTCTATCAACTTGACTTCATGCAGAAACAGAGGCATGAGCCCAAACCTGGACTTTTGCTGTGTCTTCTTCATGAATGATCATCAGTAGTTTAACACTGCAGGATCGTTTTGATAGGCCAGTGGTGTTGTAGAAGTGGACTTTCCAAAATATTCTCATCTAAGTTTTTCTCCTCCAAATTCTAGCATTATGTGTTCAAACACACAGATGTTAGAATGCATAGCTCTTCCAAAAGATACTGAATAGTGCATGACATTACTCCAGATGTTTACAGGTACCATATACTTGCTGAGGACTATAAAACTGAGAATCTCTTAGGTATCCCAGATCAGAGTTTTAATGTTCTACATGGGAAACTGGAAAAACTTCCAGAAATAGCTAGAATAGTGGCAAGATTGGTCAGCTAGAGGCACAGCCAGAGGCAATAAAACTCTGTTAGTTCCCACATATGGCTACCTTTTAAATTCATTTTTTCCTCCTCCAACTGCAATCTGGAATCATGGGTGGTGAACAGACAATGCAATGTACATATGATATATTATTGAATTGTAAACTTGAAACCTACTTAATTTTAACCAATATCACCCCAATAAATTTAATAAAAAATAAAAATAAAAGACAGATGTCATAAATAGAAAAAAAATAAAATAATAGAAAGCAGACATTTTAGAATGACAACAGAAATGAGATAAAAGTTTAATACTGGGAATTGAAAAGTTAAACTGTTAATGCCATTTGAAATTTCTAAAGCCCAATAGTCCTTTCACTGAAATTGTAAATTCAAACAATTTGCCTTCATCAGAGTAGTGATAAAAAGGAAAAAAATAATAATATTAAGATTGTAAAAGAGGGTTCACTCCTAGCTGCATGGTCTGGACAACAGAGATGCCATAAGGGAACAGCGATT